TCGGACGACGTGGACCTCAAGTCCGGCTACATGAGCGACAGTGACCTCATGGGGAAGACCATGACGGAGGACGACGACATCACCACCGGGTAGGGGCAGCCCGTGGGCAGCTGGGGGTGGACAGTCCAGCTGGCGCGCGCCGTGGGGCGGATGGGCCTCCCCCACGGGAGGGCGCTGCGCTGGGCCCACGTGTGAAGCTGCCGGTTGAGGACCCCAAGGCTGCGTGGGGTGTGAGGCCGAGGTCTGATGAGCTGGTTGGTCAGCGAAGGTGCCCCTGTCACTGGCTCCCGTGGCTGTCATTCTGAGGCGTGCCCCGCCCTCCTCCTGCTGGCGGCCCTCCTCAGGCTGCCCTGGGGACGTTGGACCGCCTGACCTCTTCCCCATTTGAGGATGAGGGTGACAGGGCCCCATTACCTGGAGGGGCTGCCGAGGGGAGAGCACGGAAGTGCGTGTTGGAAGCGCTGGTGAACCGGGGGCAGAGGGGGCTGGGCTTCCTCCGCCGGCTTCCCAGCCCCCGGCCCCGCCACCCTGGCCCCATCTCTTCTCCTCGGCATACCTCTGCCAGCCACACAACTTCCCCATCCGACCCCGGCCTGTCCAGCCCTTTGCCGTCTTCCTCTGCTTATCTTCTTCTGCCCCAATGGTCAGGGTTGGCCTTGCGGGGCAGCTGGGCCAGAGGGGGCCAGAGGGGACAGAGTGGGGAGGTGGGCAAGAGGGGAGGAAGAAGGAAGAGCTGGGGACGTGGGGGTCCCAGCCCTGAGAGCAGAGCTGTGCTGCTCCTGGAAGCTTGCGGGCACCTTTCTGCTGACTCTGCTTCCCTCCACTGTCCTTGGTTTGTGGGCCCTCCAGGGGACCACACAGGTAGTGGGGCACCCCACCCCTGGCCTCTCCGGGGACTCCCTCTCCCAGTAAACAGCTCAAACTGGAAGAGACTGGAAAGTAGCCAAGCTCCAGACTGTCCACGGCTCCCCGCCCTGGGATGCACTGGGAGGGCCTGGCAGGGCCTGTCCAGCTGGCAGACTGCTCTGGAGCAGAACAACTGACTCATGAAGGGGGTTGTTTACTGCCTGCGAGTCCCAGGGACCGCCGACCTCACGCTCAGATCCACCAGCCTGGGGCTGGGACCTGGGAGGGGTCGTCCAGCTCCTCCTGTGCGCAGAGGCCCTGCTGGG